TGTAGGTGGGGCAACCCTATAGAGTAGGATTTGAAAAGCTCAAAGTACAAATGTGTCTAAATTTGTTACCACTCATCAAACACAATAAGTTAAATTAAATGAACTTTTGTCACTCATTTCATGTTATTGTTCAGACCACAAGGTCATTGTATTACATTGTATTTAATTCTTCTCAGTTAGTAGTTTGAAAGTAAATAGAAACATGTAAAAAAAACAGGTACCGGTAATATGAAAATAGTGGTACAATGTGTGCTTGTCATTGATGCACAGATTAGAAGTAGGCCCACTTACACCATGAATTCTAGTGAATTCTTTAACTCAAATGTCATACAAGAAATGTTGCTTACACTTGTAAGTATAAGTACCTGACGTAGCCTGATTCTTTGCCGGCTCTTAAGTATTACCAGACATAGCTGGACTCTTTGCTGGAATTTAAGTAGTACCAGACATAGCCTGATTCTTTGCCGGCTCTTAAGTAGTACCAGACATAACCTGACTCTTTGTAGGCACTTAAGTAGTACCAGACATAACCTGACTCTAACCTGACTCTTTGCTGGCACTCAAGTAGTACCAGACATAACCTGACTCTTTGCTGGCACTCTAGTAGTACCAGACATAGTCTGATTATTTGCCAGCACTTAAGTAGTACCAGACATAGTCTGATTCTTTGCTGGCACTTAAGTATTACCAGACATAGCTGGACTCTTTGCTGGAATTTAAGTAGTACCAGACATAGCCTGATTCTTTGCCGGCACTTAAGTAGTACCAGACATAACCTGACTCTCTGCTGGCACTTAAGTAGTACCAGACATAGTCTGACTTGATATAAATTCATGATGTAAATTATGTAAATGTAAATTGATGTAAATTATGTAAATTCATGGCTTCAGGACATCAAAAGACCAGATTCATAAATGAGAACATATTCTTTATTAAAAGATGACATTAGCACATCACCTTATTTATACCTGTTGAATAAGAGAGAGGAAATTAAGCTTACATGTATGTCTAAACTGAGACTTAGCAACCACAGATTAGAAATAGAGCTAGGACGTTACAAGAGACCAAAAACACCAGAGTTTGCAGGATGTGTAACATACTTGAAGATGAAATACATTTCATTACATCCTGTAAACTCTATAATACAGATCGTGAGAAACTATATATGGTCTTCACTGAACAATTCCCAGATTTCCAGTCTGCCAGTAATATTGACAAATTTAAGTATATCATGAATACATCAGAAATAAAACTCATTAAACATGTTATTACCTATCTTAAATCATCTTATACTCTACATGCTAACTTCCAAGCACAATGACAATTTTCTTCTTTTAATTAAGCACTAACATGTATTAGTACTGTACCTAGTAGTAGTTGTGTCTTTTTTATGTGATTTAGTTACTTCTTTTTGTTATACTTCTATTACAATTAGCTAAAATTGAGATGTACTT